ATGTCATGTTTTACATGTACAACTTTGTCATAAATGTTTAATATGTAATTTGTTGAAAGAATAACAATTATGTTTCTACACAACTTTTATTGTAGGGAAGGAAAAATGTCCCATCATTAGGGTCAATTCTGAATTGTTGAATATGTATCAAGTTCTGTTAACTATGTGTACTTTTTCACTTTTAACGTGATTTCAATAAGATCTAATGTTCAGAAACACTCACTACTAGTAGGATGCAATAGAGACCGTAGAAAGCTCTCATATTTTTATATTATCATCACAAATCTATGAAAGCATGTTATATGTTGTTGTTGTTGTTTTTTATTATTATTTTTTTATTTTAAAGAATCTTTATTAAATAGTAATCTACTTAAAAGCTTGTGCTATGATGCTGTTCAATAGTTAATCATAATTTCCCTTTCAAATGGGAATCTCCTTTATTAAATCCCTTGTCTTTAGTTGGCCAAATTAGACAGATTGATTGATATTCATAATCCTAGTCTTAAATCTTAATTAATGTTATTAACGTTAAACTGCACCTTAGTTTCTTTCTCTCTTTTTTTTTTTTTTTTTTTTTTTTTTTTTTTTTTTTTTTTTTTTTTTTAACTGAATAGAAGGGCATTGTGTAAATAAATAGAATACAATTAGGAAATTTAATGTTAGCAAGGTATAAATAGAATATAAATATTTGTAAAGCTCTGAGCTAGTGAAGATGACGTTGTCTTTTCTGTGTTTGTTGGTGTCATAAATATACTCTCTCAAGAAGGTAGTTAAGAATTTCAAGCTAATCTAATCCTAGTTTGGTGGTTGTGGGAAGTTGAGAAGTTATTGCAGAGCACATTAAAGATTTAGAGTATAATAAAGCTTTGTATTATTATTATTTTTTTAAGCTTAAGAATGTTCTCGATGAGATTTTTCTTGAAATTAAGACCGAATTTGAACGTGGCACGTTATATTGCTCTTGGTTTGCGTAACATTTGTGAGAAGTTGAAACCAAGTTTTAGAAGTTTCTTCTTGAGTTTGTGGCTTTTATTGAAAGATTATAGCCTGCAAAATTGTAGGAATTGCATTGAAAATCAGCTAGGTTGTTGGGAATTAAGTTATCAAGACAACAGATTTATAATTATATTTCCATTATAGGCTAAGGAATCTAGGACTGGCTTTGGCGTTACTTTACTGAGAAGACCGTTTTAGAAAGTTGAAAAAGAAAAGAAAAGAAAAGATAGCCCAAAGTTTGGAGTCAGTGGTTGGTTCGAAGATGGTAGAGAAGTGTCTTTGTTCTTAATACTCTCGGCTCGATAAAGCTTCTTAGTTGTGTTGAAACTTTCTTAACTTCACCAATATCTTTTTAGTTTTTTTTTTCATGGAGCTTTCTACAGTATGAATTACCGATAGTTTTTTGTTTTTAACCGCAAGATTTTAATCAGAAACTATATGTTGTTCATATTTTTTTCTTTGATATGATTTTTAACCGTAAGATTTTAATCAGAAACTATATGTTGTTCATATTTTTTTCTTTGATATGTGTTGACGGTGAAAATTCGTTAACTCAGAATTTACCTCACAATGGATCACTCACGTGTCAACCCACACGAATTAAGCAAAAAGTAAATGCATAAGAAGTAAAGAAGACGCAAAGTTTATAGTGGTTCGGCAGAATATTGTTGCTTACGTCCACTTGTGTATGCATTAAATCTCAAGGAGTACAAGGAATCCCTCTCAGAACGAAAAATTGTGCGTCGAAATTAAATAAAGAGTTTAACCATTATTTATAGATTCTCCTGGACATGATATCTCTTTCTCTAGATCATATTTTGAGATACTGTACAAGATATCTCTTTCTCTAGATCATATTTTGAGATAAGATGTTTACTCTTTTTCTAGATAAAGATTTTCATAGCTTTGTCTCTATATTTAATTACTTGAATTTAAACACATGATTGTAGAAGATAATCTATATATGATCTTCTATTTGAATTTAAATATAAGATAAGAATTATCATCTCTTGATTTGGCAGGCTTTAAATTGATCTCGACTTTATCTCGAATTTGTCGACTTTTCTACATAGACATCTTTATGACTTTTTTGGGATTTCTCAATCACAATCACACAGTTGCTTAAGAAACTCCTCTAAAGGATTTTTCCTTTAACTAGTACTTCTCGACAGGTAAGTCCGATCTAGGCTTTCAGAATTCTCGACCGCTTTACTTGGACAAATGGTTAGAAATCTCATGGTGCAACAATATGATTTTGACTATGTACAACAATCAGAGACACTACGAGTAGGAGTCCTTACTGTGGAAGGAACTTTTTTTTAAGCAACTTTTGCTTAGATGTTTTTTGTACTTAAAGTGGAGGGACTCGAACTCCACACCTTACGATGGAGTTGGATTTAGATTTAAAATTAAACTATGGCCTAGTTCATTTCACTAATTCGAAATTTTAATTTCAGTTTTGTTATAATTAAAAGTTTTCACAAAAAATTACATTTAATTTTTTTATTACAATAAAAAGTTCTCATATAAAATCACATTTTAACTCAAATTAAAAACTTAAATATGTGAATTGAACAAGACCTATATTAGTAATGATGTTCCAATATTGAAGAACTTGATAAAAATAAAATTTTGGTTGATTTTATTCAACATTCTGGCTTTAGTGTCAGTTGGGGACTATATGTTTTTTTTTTCTTTTTTGGTACCCAAGTGGGATAATCATGATTTACAGCTTTTTGTGATGAGAGTATTAGTCCCACAACTTTCTTAAATTGTGAGAAAGAAAATGCTGCATGGCTCCTTTAAAGTACTCTTGGACTTTTTTTAAGAGAATATATGCTCTTTATCAAAGTGGAATCTAAAGGCTTTGCTTATTGAGACCCACAAAAAAAAAAAAAAAAAAAAAAAAAAAAAAAAAAAAACAAAAA